TTATTATTAATTTTTTTTTATAAGTATAATGTTATTTTATTGAAAAATCTCCGTTTAACTGGATGCGACAAAAGAAAAGGATAAAACGATACTCGGGGTTCTATTTCCGCCAGGCCTTCAAATAGGAATAGTCAGAGATTCAAATTCCCCGAAACATTCTCTCTACATACATTTCGATTCTTCTACGAAGCTTTCGAGAAGGTAAAAAATCTTCTCTCCTTTCGTTCTTTCCATTTAAATTCTTTTCCATCCGGTAATTACACCCTAGATCTACGTTGATTTCCGAAGCTGGTTATATATATAGGTACATACATGTATAATCTATGATTGCGAATGCTTGTATAACTGTATCTCTACATGCAGGATCCGTGTATGATGCTGCATATTGTAGGGGTGTGATTAGTTGAATTTTTGTTCGATCTGAGTGCTAGTCTGCGTTTTAAGATGGATCTGTTAATACTTAATATCACTTGACAAATTTGAATATTATAATAGAATCGCGTTGACCGCTAATTTCAATACGTTTTTATGAGAAATGTTGATCGTGGATCTGAATGCGCGTGAATTGTTGGGTTTATTTTCGTTGAAGTTGATTCGGTACCTGTTTGCATTCAGATCCACTTCAAATTGGAGCTTTCTCGTAATCTAGAATTGGTGGTTTAGTTTTCACTTTAAATATGTTGTTTGCTGTCATGTTTAATTGAATTAAATAAATACTTTATTTCGTTTTAGAAATAAGTGATATTCATTGCTTATGTAGAAAATTATCTGTGATTCTCAATAAGCTTCCATAGTAGACTATAGATTCAGTATTCATAACGGTTCAAAGACACCCTTGTATAAGATTTTATTTTTATTTATGAAGAGATTTTGAATTTGCTGAAAAAGCTAGTGGAATACTGACATTTGTACATTTGATTGTTTTGCTTGAGCGGATTGATGTTTATCAAATTTATAATCAGTTGGCAGCGATCTGAGTCTGAGGTGAAGCAGAGATGGGGCTGGCATTTGGAAAGCTGTTTAGCAGGCTCTTTGCCAAGAAAGAGATGCGGATTCTGATGGTAGGTCTTGATGCTGCTGGTAAAACTACCATATTATACAAACTCAAGCTTGGAGAAATTGTCACTACAATCCCTACCATTGGTGAGTCCTTCTGGCAGGTCCAACGTTACTGCATTGATATGCTACTCACAGCTTGTTATTACTGCATGTTCTTTTGTTCTGGATTCAGCAATTAACGTTTCATGGCTTTTGTGAGGGAGTTCCTATTTTGTCATTTTCATTGCTGTTCTATACTACCAGTAAAGCTGCCCAATACTTCCTGAATTCCTTGTTTCTAGTTTGTCAGTTTTACTGGTGCTCAGAAGATGGAGTCATCTCATCATTTAGATGCTTCTTTTGTTTTCTTCTATCTTATTTTATCAAGAAAATTGTGGTACAAAGAGATAAGAACTCACCGTTCCATCTTGCTTATTAAAATCAAATAGAACTGAACGATAGAATGAGGAATGACCAATGAGGAATGACCATCTAGAATGCAACCACTAAAACTCTCAAGCACCAAGATGCCCAGTGTGGTCTGGCTAATAACATCTTAAATGCCTATGAGAGAACTCCAATGGGTTCCTTATGGTGAAGAAGCTCTCATGTCCTATGTTTGTGTGTCTTGGATAGCGGGTAGAAAGATTCTGAAGTATTATATATATATATATATATATATATATATATATGTATGTTATCATTTTTTTATTAACGCGTCATGAAATATTTAATGACTGCAATTCAGATTTCCCCAGATTGGCACAACATTTTATATTTTGCACATTCTCTGTTATGTTAGGAAGTGAAGATGGTAATTTCAACTTTCAATTGCACCTGGCTGGAATCCGATTGGTATCACATAATGTCAATTCTTTTTCCCCTTTAAATTTCCTTCCAAAATATATTTATTACCATATGTTCTAAAAATGTCAATGTGAGCAGTAAACTACAAATTTAGGGTCCGTTTGATTTGTGTTTTGATTTTCAATTTTGAGTTTTGAGTTCAATTTTCATTTCCTATTTTGAGTGTTTATTTTAAGATTTCTAAAAATGCAATTAGTTTATTATATTGAAAAATTATTTCTCAAAATTAAAAATTAGAAAACACGTTTGGTTAGAAATTTTGAAAAATTATTTTATGATATTTTATTTGATTAAGCCCTTGTTTGAGCCTCATTTTTTGTGAAAGTAGATTTTGTAATAGTGATCTTTTGGAGATTATGTAATTAACAAGTAGGAAAATATTTTAGTCTTACATGCAAATTATTTTATTGAAAGAATGTTTAGTTGAAAATAAATTTAGAAAAAAAAATAAGCTTGCGTTTTTTTTCTTTTTCTTTTTTTTTTTTTTCTATTTTTAGTTTTCAAAAATGCCTAAAAACGTGTTTGGTCGTCGTTTCCGAAAACAAGAAAGAATTTGTAACTGAAAATTCAAAACGATTTTTTTTTCCGTTTTGAGTGTATTCAATTAAAAAACTTAGAACGTGAAAAACACTCAAAACACGGCAATTTTTTTTTTTTTCAAGGGGATGCTCAACAGTACTTTTAAAATAAAATGTTGTAATCTGATACAATTTAGCTCCTGTTTGGCCTCCATTTTTGGTAATGAAAATGTGAGGAATAGTGTTTTGTTGAAAAAATGAGTGGTTGAAAAAGAAGGAAAAAATTTCGATTTACATGTAATATTATTTTATGGAAGATTGTGTGGTTGAAAATAGGAGAGAAAAAAATAGAATGTAATGAAATGTAATTTAATGGGAATCAAACAGGGGCTTAGTGAAGCGTAATAATTTTAAAACCCACAGAACATTTTTCAATTTTCATTATTATTTTTTTCGTTGATCAAAATTTGAAAGAATTATTATTTCTGCAAAACAAGTTTATCTAGGAATTTCTTCAATTTCAAGTAATTTTCAATTACCTTTGATCAATGAGAAGCTTGCTAAATTTTATAGTGGAAAATAGGAAGACAAATATCATTAAAAACCTGTAAATTATTGAATACGTTATTTAAATGCTATAATTAGTAAACTTTTAACTGCATCAAGTGATTTGGCATGACATCAGAGCGAAGAAAAATTCTAGGGTTCCAATGAGATCGTGCAATCAGTGCAGTGCTGATAGACATTACGATAGAACTTAAAACCAAGAGTGAAGAAAAATCACATCTGCATTACATTATACTTATCATCGAGAATTTTTAAGCTATCGTCAAAGAATAATGATATTCATCATTGTTAATTCTCTCATTCTTGCTTTGATTTTGATTTTTTTTCCCTTTATTTTTGGGTGCATTTTTACACCTTGAGGAGAAAAAAAATTACGCTAATTTTATGAGGCAAGACAACAATAAAAATATATTTTGACCCAAAATTATAGCCCCAAAACTTAAAAAGGCACACTTCTGCTAAAGTTGCAGGACGATTGTAATCAAAAAGAAAATGTAAGAGTAAAATTTTGAGCTTGTTTGGTCAAGCAATTTCTTATTATTTTGAGCTTGTTAATTATTATTTTACTTTAATAGATAAAATTCACTTTTTTTACGTAAGTATTCTAAATTAAAACCAAACACGAAACATGTCCTTATTTTTTGGAAATTAACATGAAACATGCTTGATTATAGTTCAAAGTTTCTTAGTTTTTGAAATCAACACAAAACATGCTTCATTATGTTTAAACGTATCTTATTTTTATTTCACTTCTTTTGTCCAAAATGAGCTTTCGGTTACTTTATTATAGATTAACTCTTAGCTTTTGTGTGAGTAACGGATCTTTAAATATGAGAATAGGTATTGACAGGTCATACTAAACTTATATCGAGCCTTTAGCACCAATAAAATTTTCAAGAAATTATTGAAATTAGTATTTTGAAATTTTTGAAAATTCTCATTTTCCCTTTTTTTTTTATTTACGCAATGGATTATTAATTTTCAAAAAAAAGAAAAAGAAAAAAGATAATGAAATTTATCACCCGTGTTTGTGCAAATAATGTATTATGAAATGATAAAATTAATTAAATATATTTTGGAATAGTGATTATTTTGGAGAATGTGTGGTTCAAAAAATAAGAAATTATTTTTGGTTGACACGTAAAAATATTTTATTGAAAAATGCGTAGTTGAAAATGAAAATTTGAAGAAAAAAAGGGGAGTTGGAGAGTCTCTTAAAGTTGTTGTACATTTCATCATGCTTGTTTTTGTACTCTTTCGAAGATTCTAAATGCTTGTTTTTGAACCCACAATTATATCCCTACTTCATTATTATCCAGAAATTTTTCCGATATCGTCAATCAATATAGAAAGAAAAAAACTTAGAATTTTACTAGTATACCTAAGTCGTCTTTTCCGTTAACATTTAGGATTCTTATACATCGATTTTTCCTTCAATTTCAATAAATTTAAAATATCTTCAAGTTGAAGAGTCTCTTATATTCGTTGTACATTTCACCATGCTAGTTTTTGTACTCTTTTGAAGATTCTAAAAGCTGATTTTTGCTTAGGTCCCGTTTGGTGGGAATTTTTTGCCTCAAAAAATTGATTTTTTGACCGTTATTTTACTATTCAAGCCGTAATTTTTGACTTCTTTTCTCACATGTGAACCCCACTTTTCTTCTAACGGTCAAAAAATCAATTCTCAAAATCCCTATCAAACGGGCCCTTAGCATTTGTCTGTTTGTTCCAAGACAATTGGGTTTTAGCTTAAACATGTGCAACTAACGTTAGTATCTATGCCCACAATTCGAATCAAAACAAAATTTTCTGTTAAACTAATAATTTAATTAATTGACAAATTTTATTATTATTAATTTAGGTCAAAGGGAGACGGCTCTCTTTTGGTTTTATATGGTTTATTGTTATTATTATTATTAATTTTTTTTTATAAGTATAATGTTATTTTATTGAAAAATCTCCGTTTAACTGGATGCGACAAAAGAAAAGGATAAAACGATACTCGGGGTTCTATTTCCGCCAGGCCTTCAAATAGGAATAGTCAGAGATTCAAATTCCCCGAAACATTCTCTCTACATACATTTCGATTCTTCTACGAAGCTTTCGAGAAGGTAAAAAATCTTCTCTCCTTTCGTTCTTTCCATTTAAATTCTTTTCCATCCGGTAATTACACCCTAGATCTACGTTGATTTCCGAAGCTGGTTATATATATAGGTACATACATGTATAATCTATGATTGCGAATGCTTGTATAACTGTATCTCTACATGCAGGATCCGTGTATGATGCTGCATATTGTAGGGGTGTGATTAGTTGAATTTTTGTTCGATCTGAGTGCTAGTCTGCGTTTTAAGATGGATCTGTTAATACTTAATATCACTTGACAAATTTGAATATTATAATAGAATCGCGTTGACCGCTAATTTCAATACGTTTTTATGAGAAATGTTGATCGTGGATCTGAATGCGCGTGAATTGTTGGGTTTATTTTCGTTGAAGTTGATTCGGTACCTGTTTGCATTCAGATCCACTTCAAATTGGAGCTTTCTCGTAATCTAGAATTGGTGGTTTAGTTTTCACTTTAAATATGTTGTTTGCTGTCATGTTTAATTGAATTAAATAAATACTTTATTTCGTTTTAGAAATAAGTGATATTCATTGCTTATGTAGAAAATTATCTGTGATTCTCAATAAGCTTCCATAGTAGACTATAGATTCAGTATTCATAACGGTTCAAAGACACCCTTGTATAAGATTTTATTTTTATTTATGAAGAGATTTTGAATTTGCTGAAAAAGCTAGTGGAATACTGACATTTGTACATTTGATTGTTTTGCTTGAGCGGATTGATGTTTATCAAATTTATAATCAGTTGGCAGCGATCTGAGTCTGAGGTGAAGCAGAGATGGGGCTGGCATTTGGAAAGCTGTTTAGCAGGCTTTTTGCCAAGAAAGAGATGCGGATTCTGATGGTAGGTCTTGATGCTGCTGGTAAAACTACCATATTATACAAACTCAAGCTTGGAGAAATTGTCACTACAATCCCTACCATTGGTGAGTCCTTCTGGCAGGTCCAACGTTACTGCATTGATATGCTACTCACAGCTTGTTATTACTGCACGTTCTTTTGTTCTGGATTCAGCAATTAACGTTTCATGGCTTGTGTGAGGGAGTTCCTATATTGTCATTTTCATTGCTGTTCTATACTACCAGTAAAGCTGCCCAATACTTCCTGAATTCCTTGTTTCTAGTTTGTCAGTTTTACTGGTGCTCAGAAGATGGAGTCATCTCATCATTTAGATGCTTCTTTTGTTTTCTTCTATCTTATTTTATCAAGAAAATTGTGGTACAAAGAGATAAGAACTCACCGTTCCATCTTGCTTATTAAAATCAAATAGAACTGAACGATAGAATGAGGAATGACCAATGAGGAATGACCATCTAGAATGCAACCACTAAAACTCTCAAGCACCAAGATGCCCAGTGTGGTCTGGCTAATAACATCTTAAATGCCTATGAGAGAACTCCAATGGGTTCCTTATGGTGAAGAAGCTCTCATGTCCTATGTTTGTGTGTCTTGGATAGCGGGTAGAGCTACTGGTCTCTTTGGTTTTTACATTATCTTGAGTATCTTTTAGTCCCAGTGACAGAATTTCTTACCTTCTGATGCCCATTATTCATTTTGATTTTTTTCCTTCCAGGATTTAATGTTGAGACAGTGGAGTACAAGAATATTAGCTTCACTGTCTGGGATGTTGGTGGCCAAGACAAGGTCTGTATCCCTCTTACTTAGCTAATTTTAGAGTTATTGTAAATTACACAGATATGATATTATGATGTATTTGTTTTGCCCTGTTTACCTCACTTCTTTAGATGTACTAGTGATTTGAATTAGTCATGCTGGAGACGCAGTATTTGAATCTATTCCTTTCAATTTCAAAGTCAGGCCCTTCCTTTTCCTTGATATACCTCTTAAATGTATTTTCCATTTTTAGTCATGTAAGACAATCCTCAAGCTTGACAAGTCTAACAATTTGCTATCCCTGAAATTATCTGGAGGAAAAACTGGTAGACAAATGATGAAGGTTGCAATTGATCCTAAAAATTTAATTAGTGAATCGTGGATTTCACTGCAGTGATGTTGTGCTACCTGTATGTTATAAATGCTATATCTGTTAATGTTACAGCCTTTCAGGCATTTGACAATTTTCCTCTTGTATGTTATAGAAGGCAATGCAATGGTATGCATCTGTAATTGTCTCTACATAACAATGTGTCCCATCTATTCTTGTTGCCCGCCCTCAGTATATATTTACATCCACTGGGCACTAGCTGATTGCCCTTTTCCTTTCATTCAGATCCGTCCCTTGTGGAGGCACTACTTCCAAAATACACAGGGTCTTATTTTTGTTGTTGATAGCAACGACAGGGATCGAGTTGTTGAAGCAAGAGATGAACTGCACAGAATGTTGAATGAGGTACGTTTTCATTTTTTGCTCATTTATTATTACTCTTCATTCCCTCGTGAATGTGGTGTTTAATATTGTATCTCATATGCCTTCAGGATGAATTGAGGGATGCTGTCTTGCTTGTATTTGCTAATAAGCAAGATCTGCCTAATGCAATGAATGCTGCAGAAATTACTGACAAACTTGGCCTCCACTCTCTTCGTCAACGTCATTGGTAAGATTTTCTTGTACTTAGCCGTTGTCCAAGTATGCTGGAAGTTCCCAGTTCTTTTGCATGGTAGAGTTTGAGAAATTGGATCATGAGAGGCAAAAATAATTCCACGAGAAAATAAACTCAGTAGTTTCAGTTAATACAACTTTGTATATGTTGTATTTCTTTGTGTTATTTCTTATATACCATACCATCAATTAAAATCATAAGAAGTCTCAAGAGAAGACAATAGAGTCTATGGCAAAATTTCTAGAATGAAAAGTCCATTTCTTGCATGGACTTTGAAGGGCTTCCACATTATGTGATGTGGGCCGAACCTTTTTGGAATGCATTTTGAAACAGATGCCGTTTTCATTTCTTTATATTTTACCTCCAAAGATGTACACTATCTAGAAGTCTATTTATAGAACCCTCAGACGATGAGAATTTCTACTAGTGGACTTATGAGATCCAAAACTACATCCAGAGTCGTTGCCAAACATTTAGAAGTTTTTTAAGATTCAAGTGGTGAGAGGAGCATTGCAATTTCTCTTATTTCTTTGGTCATTTGTCCAGGTACATCCAGAGCACGTGTGCAACCTCTGGGGAGGGCCTTTACGAAGGGTTGGAATGGCTTTCGAGCAACATCGCTAGCAAGGCAAGTGCATAGATAACCATTTTGTGGTATTAAAACTATCCTGAGTGGAAATTATGACATTCACAGTACCAACTTTGTGATATTGATTTTTATTTATGCTATATTCATAAGAGAAATTTGCAATTACTACCAATTCACTTTGCAATATCCGCTAAATGTGCTGGTACGAAGTTTAGTTTAGCCTTTGGGTCGACTTATGTACCTCCATCTTAATTAATTATTTGGAGAGAAATGTATCTGGGATAATTAAGCATTTTGGATCGACTTACGTACCTCTGTTTACAGCACCAACGGTTGCTTCGACACTCTCTTTTTGCTCTGGGATACATTTTGGTCTTCTGCCGTTCATCTAATTGACGACGGCTTTGATTTTGTAGGCATGAAGCAGTGAAGGATTTATTATTGCTGGTTAGATTTTTGCTTGGAACAGGGACACGGTACTCTTTTATGGAATTGGCTATATCAAAGAGACCTTATGATTTTCACTTTCAGTTTGTTGTAGTAAAATTTTTTTAATTTTACAATTGCAGCTATTTGTCTTCCTTATTTTCAGCAACATATTTAGCTATATGCCTTGTGGTTAATGTTCTTTCCTAATTCTGATGTTGAGATACTTTCTTAATCGTTTTAATGAAAAAAAAAATAAAAAAAAATAAGCATTTTCACGATTTAGGACGAGCAAAGTTTCTGTTACCCATCAAATTTAAGGCCACATACTTTCGTAAATAAGTTTTGTTAGGAAAAAAAATAACTTTTAAATTTCACATTTGACATAATGAGTAACTGAAAATTAAATGGAAAATGCTATTCGTACAGACTCATTTGCACAGAGTCTGTACAGATGCTCTCCCCCATGTGAGAGGCCCTGTACAAACCCTTTGCAAATGGGTCTGTACAAGGAGTTTAATCCAAATTAAATTGGACTGATTTTTTAAGTACTAAAAATACTGCAGTACATAGAATCAGTTTAATTATTTTGACTAGAGTTTGGGCACTGCTCGTTCTCGGCTAATTTATTGTATTTCTAATAATGTTATTTGTATATAATGGAGTTTGATAATGGTTTACGCATAAATAAGGTCTCAAATGGATAGGAGATTATTATTATTAATTTTTTTTGGTTGAAGAGAATCTGATGTAATTATATTTCACTACATTATGTGTATGTAAATTATTAAATAAACTATAATGTATATATAACACAATTGTTGTATTCAAGCGTTACGGGTGCTAATTTGGTGAAAATTAAAATTAAAATTTTAATGTAAGTTAAAGTTAACAATTAATTTTAACCATACATTTTACGGGATCCATAACTTTTCAGTAACACATTTTATCAATTTTTATTAAAATATGCAAAAAATTTGATTTGAATCTCATCAAATAGGGGGCAATAAACGTCCTACTAAAGTAATTTTTACACGGCGAGAGAAGTATCCATCTGGAAGTATTTAAGTCGTTGTTTGTCTACCATTTTTCAAAATTTCATTTTTTTTTTTTAAAAACTTATTTTTAACCACACATTGAACAATCAGGGCTAAATTTTGGGAGATTTTGAAAATGTTATTCCTAGTTACACAAAAATTTGAGATTAACTTTTTTGTGTCAACCATGTGAATTGAGCTTCAAAATTACAACTTAATATACTTTTTTTTTTCTTTTCCTTTTTTAATTACACAATTTTCAATAAAATAATATTATAAATAAACTAAAGTTTTTTTTTTCTTTTTCAACCATGCATTCTTAAAAAAATAAAAAAATAATAACTATTCCAAAATACATTTCCCGGAAACACATCTTAATGGCTGAGTCTCGTAAAAAAATTCATCGAATAGAAAGGAATGAGAAATATTAGCTTAATTTTTTTTATTACTTCATTGTTCACGTTATTATAGCTTGCATTCACCAGATATAATTGTTTTTAGAGTTTTCAATAATATAATATCTCGTTTAAAAAGAAGAATTTATCGATTTCAACGGATGTAATGTATTAAATCATTAATCCGTCTAAATGTATGAGATAATAATTTTATATGTAATCCTTTTAAGGCCAATAAAAATATAAAATATTAATTGATTAAATACATAAAAGTTTATAATACAATTCTTAAGAAAGTTTTTAATTAACGAATTTTATTTTAAAATTTAGC